ATTATATCCGAGATAAAAGAAAAATCTTACCCTTTGCTCTGGAGGGGGACTATCTCTGAAGGGGACTATCTTTATCTACCAAGGCCATTTGCTATGTAAACATCCTTGAAAAGATTATTTAGAACAAAAGAAGTTTCAGTTGTCCTGCTTATAGGATGTGAGAGACCCATAGAAAATTGGCTGTCCTAGAGAACTGCGACTTTTTCCCCCAAATCAGTAGCACCTGTTTGGCAGTTGTACAAGCCACCCAGAAAGTGGACAGTCCAACCTCAGTTACTCCTTCAGATGACTCCATTCCTAGTTGAACTCTAATTTATGAAGGAGCCCAAGCTAGCCCCACTCAGGAAGCTAGTCCCCCAAATCCAGACTCACAGACATTATGAAGAATATTGTGCCATTAGGGTTGTTTTGTTTATTTATTTTATTTCTTGATGAATCTGGAGTTTCAGTCATAATGGCTGCTCAATAAGGCCCCAGGGGAATATTGTGCCATTAGGGTTGTTTTGTTTATTTATTTTGAGACACAGTCTCTTGATGAATCTGGAGTTTCAGTCATAATGGCTGCTCAATAAGGCCCCAGGATCCACCTGTCTTCACCTTCTGACTCACCTCCTTCAGCACTGGGGTTAGACGTGCACTGCCAAGTGGTCCTGGCTTCTCCATGGGTTCTGTGGATCCTAATTTCAGACCTCTCGCTTTCTCTGAAACTTTCCCCACTGAGTCATCTCTTCGGCCCTCTATGCCATTAGGTTTTTGAAATGATTGCTTACACAGTAATGCAAAATCAATACAAATTTTTTCAACTTGAAAGGGGGTGATAGCACAATGAGTCTCAGATGGATCAGTGCCCTTGAGGGCACAGTAGAAATCAGGGACAGAGTGCAATGAAAGCAGAAAGATACTTGGGGACAGGGGACTTTCAACAGCAGCCTGGCCACCTTTGAAGTGGCTGCCAGGAGAGCCTGAAGGAGGGGAAGGAATGTGACTGGATAATGGAAGAATGGACCCTTGTCATGTAGTGGCAGGAACTTAGCAACACTGTTGCCTACATTCACATGGATGGTAAGCTAGTGGCCTCACTAAAATTTCCAGGCCAAGTGCTGAAAATACCTCCTGGCTTCTTGCTTCTGGAGTTAAAAGAGACAGTTTATAGCTTTCTTTAGGATTCTTGAAGGCTGTACTCTATCTTATGGGAAATACATATTTCTGTAAATCACAATTTGTGTATGTAGGCTTTCAGAAGGTAAGTCATAATTTCTTATATTAAATATACTTCTTTATTTTAATCTTATGACCAAACACCATTAAAGAAAAATTAAGCTAGTAAGAGTGAATGGAAAAGAAGGAACTTTAATCTTTGGCTGAGCAGCCTTCAAGGTAAACTTCGGGGAACAATGATTATCAAAAATATTTTCAATATTAGTTTCCTGGAGGGTTTTGTTGCCCCATTTTGTTCCACTAGGGATCAGCTCTTATGAGCCAAAGTGAAATGGAGTAGGTTTTTAAGAAAATGGGTGTGGAGACATAGTTACACAGTTGCCCAGATAAAAGAGAAGTATGAGAGATCAAAATAGAGCTCTGTTCTTTGAGAAACATCAAAAACTTATCATAGGCAAATGCTTTTCTACCTTGAATAATTATTTTGCCTTATTTTGCAAATTTCTAAACAACTGCAACAACAGTAAAAAAGAGAAACTTGGTTACAAAGATTCAATAAGCTCTTAGAATGCCAGCTTGAATTTGGCAGGGATTTTAAGCTGGTCTGTGAGAGCTGAACACATTGGACTGATTCAAGTGATGAGTGATTTGGAGGCACATAAAAAGGGGCTCTGGAACTTTCTTCTTCGTCTGCAACTTCAACCATTAACTTCCTGGTATGTGTTAAACATGTTATCCTTTATAGTTTATCATTTTTTTTCTCAAAAGCAAATAAAAAAAAAGTCATATAGCAAACCCAGGTCAGAACATAACAATTATTCTTAGAATATATGATTTAATGAACATTTCAAAATTTTTCTTTCTTTGCTGATGATCTAAATAATTAAAAATACTTTTACAATGCATTTGCTAGAATGTGTGCACACAGAAAAAGGATAACAAATGAAAAATCTCTGAAAACCTGAAGTAGGAGTTTCTTTATTATTTTGGGTTTGTGGGACTATTTACCTTCAGAAAGACAATGTTGACTTTTGCAGAAACTCATTAAAATGATAAAATCACTGGGGGGAAAGATTTTCATTTCTTTCTTGGGAATTGAGTTTCTCGTCTGTCAGAGAACAGAGTATTGTTTTCACTCTCTGCTTCTAAAGTGACCAGTCGTCTTTCTGGGCTAGAACCGTCACTGCCTCTGTTCCCTAACAGCAGTTTGATAGTCTGTTCTCAACTAGGATCTTAGGACCTTCCTTCTTTTGAATTCTATATGCTAGGGACACTAATATAAAATGGAGACAAGAATATTTCTTCAGAGGCTGCATGACATATGCTTCTAAAACAATGTATAATAGCTGAGGGTCAGGAAAACTGAGTCTTAACCAAGACTGGAGTTACCTTGTTATGGAGTTACCCAGTATTTTTGGACCTAAGTTTCCTTGTCCATAAAGTAGTAGAGTTGTACTTGCTCCCAACTCAACTAGTTTATGATTCTGAAAGCTCCTCCCTTTCTATAGGAAGGCTATAGACTATAACCTAATAGAAAATTATGAAATTGGGCTTTGCTGAACAGGCTATTTGTAGATAAAATTTTTCCCTCACAATATATAGCTTCATGAAGTTAATGTTCAATGATTTTGAAAGCTGATCACAGAAGTGTATAACCAGTCACTATGGTTTAATAATATACTCTGAATGTAGTAGAAACACCATGATCTTGATGGTGTTGGAAAGGTCTTGGTTGTGATATACTTTCCAGGTGTGCTAAGTTGTTTGGCATTTTTGGCACTAAAATACAAGCTTGTGCAATCTTTTAGAGAGGTAGTTTTCACAAAAATTGATCTGTTGGTGAACATACGTCCTCTCATCAGGTACCTTTCTCTGATTATTTGCTTCAGTTGCAAGATATGTTAGAGTTGGCACATGGCAGCATTATCTGTTCTGTATGCAGAGGATCACTGATTTAAAGGAAAATGTAATTTGTGTTTTGTTTCAGGTAGATTTTTCTTGGAAGATAACAAGAAACAAGGCAGCCATGAGGTTAGCGTCTGGTTCTTTCCTGAAACCCATGATTTTACAGCAGAATGTCTTCAGTGAGTATTTTAAAATACACTGGATACAGTGAGCTTTTTGAAATACTTTAAGGGTATACAGTATGCTTCACAAAACTACTGTATGTGACTATAAGTATTTTAGCATTGGAAAAGATGTTTCCTTGAAAAGACAAGTGTCTTTTGAAAATAACCCATTAGCAATTAACTTTAAGAGGCAGAACTCTACAGAGAATTTTGTTGTTTTCCTGGACTTTTTAAATTGATTTCTCTCTCTCTCTCTCTCTCTCTCTCTCTCTCTCTCTCTTCTCTCTCTCTCTCTCTCCCTCTCCCTCTCTCTCTCTCTCTCTCTCCTCAAAAGTGAAGAATTTTCTTCACTGGGACATTTGAATAGATGTTTTTCATGTACTACTTTTAAAGTTTTTTCATTCTTAGCTTACAGAAAAATCATGCTTTAAAGAACCTTAGTACATAAAGTCACAGGAAAGC